AGTCCCACCTCAATTAACAGTAGATTCTACCTCCCCAGGCAGTGATTCTTAAATGCAGACTCCCCCCCCCTCCATTCTGCAGCACATATATTGTATGCAGACTTTCCTTTTTAGCCTTAAGGCTGTGGACCCAGGTTAGGCTTTCCTCATCTGAAGGAGACGTTTACTGCTCTGTTACTTTACTAGGGACAAGTCTCTCTCTCCATCTCTCTCTCCCCCCCCTCCATTCTAAAGGAAAAAAGTCCATCTCCCACACATTTAAGTGGTTCTACTGTGCCTGCCAATCACAGGGATGGGCTTCTGGTCCAAAAGTTGGCAGATAATGATTAGACCAATCAGAGCTCTGCACTAGAATTATTCAAGTTGGCAGTCAGAAGCACTTTGATAAAAGTTGGCAGCCAGAAGCAGCAGAAACACTTTCAAAAAGCTGAAAAATGTGAGCTGGGAGCTACTGGGAGCCGTGGTTCCCACCTTCTGGAGAAAGCTACTTTGGAAGCTACTTGGACGAGAAAAGCAGAAACGACTGAATAGAATAGCGGGTCTTCAATTGCATCCACCTACACTCCTGCCCTCCACATTGCTTGGCAACATGACTTGACAAATTCATCAGCCAGAGCAGCACCTGCAGCTCCTGGAGAAATTCCTATCCTCACCCAAAGGTAAGAGGACTCCGTCTGCCTAGGTGATGACTCGGACCCGGTGCTCAGTCACGCTCCACTGTGACATCTTCCCCCACTGTCACCCAACCGACTCTCTAGGTCACACTCTGTGTCACACTCACTGCTCAGCAGTGTCTTATACAGCCAGATAACTCAGTCACCTGGTTCACTACTAGTTAATTTTTCTGGCGCAAATATGGAAAACTCCAGAAAAGGAGTCTGATTGTTTTGGTTTGAGGTGAGCGCCCAGCCTGGACCGATTAACAGCGGCTGTTATAGGGCACATGGACACAGCCACTGTGCACAGGACAGGAAACTGAACATTTCAAAGTCTTTCATAATTTGCCCCAAACGAGCCTTTTAAACTAATCTCCCCCTACACACTTACATAAAACCCCACTCGAGACACACTAGATTGCTCAAAATTCCTGACATATACTATGTTCTCATTCTCTTTCCTCTGCCTCCCTTTCTGATCAAAACTCCCATCCTAAAATACTCAGGGAAAAATCCACTCCGTACTGCCCTCCCCTCTTGAAATTCACCTCTGTATCCACATCACTCTTGATGTCTGAGTTGCATCTACTTATAAATATGTCTATCTCCCCAAAGAGTTTAAGGTCCTCAATATCAGAGACTCCAGTATATTAGGTTCCTAACGCAATGCTTTGTATTTACGACTGGATAGGTCAAAAAAAACAACCTTGAGAAGCATGCTGTACCATCTTCCATCACTAAATGACAACGGATGGGAGAGGTCTTTAGAACCCAGTTTTCCTAATAGACCCACTACATAAAATAGTATAGTTCTGAAGTAGAACCCACTAAGAAATGGTTACATGACCTTCTCTCTATCTTCCAGTTGGTCATTCTTAAAATAGGAAATCCTCCTTCTTGGTGGCAAAACCGTAGAATATATTCAAGCAAGGTGTAACCCGCACCAAACTAGATTTTCTTCAATACACTAAAATGGCAAAAGAGTTCCCTATACTTTCATCACAATCTTCAGGCTACAGGGAAAAATACAGAAACAAGGGGCTGTGTTTTCTGCTATTCTTCACACTCCATAATTGCAGGATCAGCTCAGTCTTCCCGAACAACACTACAGTGCAACACTGTCTGTTATAGACATAGAAAATAAAAACGAGTACTCACCAATTTCTCAACAATTTTACTTGTTCGGCACAACAAGTACTCTGAGATAAATGCCCCCCAAAGTCTAGTTGCTCCAATTCAGTGTAGCTAAACTTTTGTTTTTTGAGACAGGGTCTTGCTATGTAGTTCAGGCTGGCCTCGAATTCTCAGAGGTCCTCCTGCCTGGGCCTCCTGAGCGCTGAGATTACTGGCGTGCACCATCATACTGGCACTGCAGCTATGTTTGAGCTTCAAACTGCTGGCAGGATGAGTTCTGAGGCACGAACTGCTAAACAAATAAATAAATAAATACCACACTAAAATAAAAGAAGCCAAGACAATGGAGATTGGAGATTGGTCTGGGTTGGCTTTCACTTCTGGACCTATGAGCAAATCCTCCTGTTGCTGACGTGTAGATGTCATACAGAAGACATTCAGAACCCAAATACGTGGATTTGTAAAAGGATAATTATGAAGCATACTCCTATGACCTGATATTGGATAGTCCCTAACACCAGCCAACGATATTTAAATTAAGATACATAAACCTGAGGTTTCCCACCTTGTAAAAGCAGCAGGAAGATAAACATTTACCTAGGATTAATTATGTAACAGTTGTTTGGGGGCACATCTTATTTAATCTCTGTAACAACTTTGCCTACTTTTTTACTGTTAAGTAAATTTCCGAGCTAGGATTAAATTTATGTCCAGAATCTATATGCTTTCCACAAAACCATACTACTTCCTGTCCACTTTGACCTGATAAAAATGCTTTGAGCTTCAAGCAATAAATGTATTGTGGTATCCTGGATTGGACTGTGAAACAGAAAACAAACACTAGTGGGAAAACTGTATGGAGTTTAGTTAATAAAAATGTGCCAGTATTAACTTATTCAGAGATGTGCACCATTATAATGTAAAATATTAATATTAGAGGCAACTAAATGAAGGATTAGTGGGAACTCTGTACTATTTCTGTGACTTTTCAGTAAATCAAAATTATTTCAGAATAAATAGGATATTAAAAATTCAAGAAAGTTTTGAATTTTATATATTGTTCTGAAGCTAAATACATAATTGGATGTTTCCAAAGGACTGCACGCACAGAGGCTTTTTCGTGGTTATGAACTTTTTTTTTAGACAGGGTCTCACTGTGTAGCCCAGGCTGGCCTTAAAGTCACAAAAATCCTCCTGCCTCAGCCTCCCAAGTGCTGGGAGTACTCTTGTGCACCGCCACACCCGGCAATAAATTTTAAATCAAAAATATCACTTCTGGCCTTTTCACACTAGGGTAGTACAAAAACAAGTCAAATCCTACATCAAATGGCATCTTAGTTGACAAGGAATCAAATACAGCCTGACATCAACAAGAATACCTCACCAAGTTGATCATGACAGCAGGCGACCTAAACAGCTTTGTAATATGCTAAAGGAGGTAGGCTTGGGTAGCTGTGAGGAAGAGACAGTTTAAGCCACCTGAAGTAAAGGTGAGCAAGTCATGAAAACGTTGGGATTTTGAGAGAGAGCAGAAGCAACCGGACCCAACTGACGCACAGGAGGCTGAGGCAGACAGAGGTCTTTCCCTTTCTGAGTTAAGACCTCTTGCAACATGAAAGAAACCCAACTGTAAACACCACTCCCGAACTTCTGCCTCTGACCTCCATCTGTCTGTGCTGATCCTCGGCCATCTCCTCCAAGATACCCATCCGCAGAGAGATTGTTTCTACCAGGAATATTTTCTTCAAACAAGGACGACTCACTGATCTCCAGCCCCAAAGGGGAAAAGAAAGCAGGTCCATGTTTACTTTAAAATTGTTCATATGTAAAAATCTCAGGTATTTGTTATAATTTAAAGCTTAGATTTCTTCCATGTTATGTATCCAGGACAAATAATATGATTTAATATTCTATATACTTAGTTACATCACGTACATCTCAGGTGGGTGTTCAGCCCTCCAGGTGACAAGCACATTTTTTGAATGCTTATTATTTTTGTCTTCCCAGTGGGCTATTCATAGTACTTATTTCAAAATTTTCAAGCATTTTTCCCCTTTGGAATTTTAGTTTACTGCAAATGCTTTCCCCTTAGAACATCCTCTAGTGCCATTCCTTTTTCGACCTCTTTGAATATAAATCCTTGATAAAGACGTCCTACAGGGGACTGGGACTGGGAAGGGTAGAGACACTAGGCAGCTCCTGGATTGTCCTGTGACGTGCTGTCCCCTAGATGTTGAAAGTAGCCCTCTTATTAAGAACGTAGCCGTCCAGACCTTGAGGCCACAGAATTAATATTCCCTCTGGAATCAAAGGACCTTTCTTTGAAAGAGTTGTCCAATTTTCAAGCCACATTAGGTAACTGCCGGTCCGGGAGCTCGGCCTGAAAAGAATGTCGGAGTTTCCCTTCAGGTATAGGTGCCTGGGGGTCAGGGGAAGAGGAAAAGGCAGGGGGTGGAGTAGGAGGCGGGTGATCGACAGGGGTAGAATCGGTGTCTCCTCCTCCCTCGGAAGCGAAGTAGCCAATGAGGTGGCGCGGCCGGGCGGTCCTGGCCGCCAGTGCCTTATAGTATGCAGCAACCGGAGGAGTCACGTTGGGGGAACGGCAGAAAGCAGCTATCCGTTTACACTACTTTGCTCTAGCAGCTATCTTAATGGTGACTGCGTGGCCGGGGGGAAACCTGATCGGCCAGATCCAGCCGAAACCAGGAGGGAGGGAGTGGGCTTTCCGGAGGGGGGGAAGGGGGAGGGAGACGAAGAAGGAGGAGTAAGAGAGGGGGAAAGAAAGAGAAAAAGAGTGCGAGGGAGTGAGGGAGGGAGGAAAATAAACAACAAAAAATGTCCTCTTCCTCCCCCACCGGGCAG